TTTTTTGTTTAGTATTTGTACTGAAATCTCTATGTTGATGCTGGTGGATGGGATATGGCGGGTTGTAATTAACTACGACAAAATAACAAACAATATGGCAGACATGTCATAGAATCGATCCCGTACTCGAACACGATACACCACGTGACAAGATGGCGTGTTCTCACCTGAGCGATCCACACATTGGTTGTCAGTGCCTGATTTCTTTCATCCTGCAAGGTTAAGAAAAAAATACGAGTTATTGACCATAGTGAGTGAATACATCTTTTCTGATACTGGCGTCCCTAGCGCCTTTAAAAAATAAAGACCGTCTGCACCGTCAATTTCTGTTTATCTGTAGTTGACCTTCAATGAATAATTAATGCATTTGTTAATTAATTAAAGAATTGAATTAATAATTTATTAATTAATTAATTAATTAATGCATTTGTTAATTAATTAAAGTATTAAATTAATAATTTATTAATTAATTAATGCATTTGTGAGAGTTACTGTCTTCTTATAAATGACATTGCTTTCACTCAGCTACGTCATTTCCACGTCTCATAAGCGCTCGTCGTTTGAGTGAGTAAAACAGTATTGAGGAAGTGATTACTTGCATAAACCCCTGAGATTGAGACAGCAGAAATCTGAGAACCTGTTTTTTCTCGATGTCCTGCTGAAACAATCGGTATACGTGTGTTTTCATCATTGCCATTTTAATAATGATTTGTCTGATTCATATCTCATGTCTGAGTATATATAGAAGTATATTCTGTCTGATTTATTTCTATAACATACGAGCTATTGTGCTGTCTGATCTGCAAAGAGTACCCGGAAGTTGAGTAATTGTCACTATTACAATGTCACGATTGCCTACTCAAAAATGAAGATTAGGTTCTGTGTTGGTATTTACCCACATGTATGTCTAGGAGATATATACCCATATTTACATCTAGGTAACTATACCCATAATTATATCTAGGTAAATATACCTATATGTATACTGAAGTACAATTTGTATATCCATATGTGTATGCCGGATTTATACAAATACATATAACATATTATTGTAAAGTACACATACAAATCAATTATATTTAGATCCTAAAATGGTATAAACCTTGATGTTCATGGGAAGCATAAAACACGTTACAGGTTTTTACACCAAACTTAAACACTAATAATAATGGCTTATTGTATAAGTACATATAATTTCCCACTGTCAAACATACACAGCAGAAATAAAGTAACTTGGAAAAGAAACATCACAGAGGCTAAGATGTAATAATTCGTATTTCCGTATCGATGTAAAACCTGCATAATCGCACAAATATATAACAGATTGGGGGAAGTCGTGTAGGAAGGTGTTACGCGGAGTCTACAAATCATATAATGTATTTTATATGCAGACTGTCAAGCACGAATGGCGGTGTAGATCCCGGGGAGTAGATAAAGTACAAGCACTTATCAGTGGCTTCTACCAATCATGCTTTTATTCATTCGGTTCATTGAAATTGTTTGAGAGAAACCAACTTGAAACGACTTGACGTATTTATTTGTTTGGTCTGAAATATGGAATGATTGAGCGTGCTTCCTTCTTGTCACGGTGACATCGCGTCAAATGAACTGCTCCACTTTGGCCATCACGGCGATAGCAATTTGCTTCGCTGACAGTTACATGTTTGTTTGTCGTTAATTCGATGCTGTAACTGAAAACATGAACAGCTAGTGTATTATATCGTTCGCGTATAAAATGGGGAGTTGGGGGTAACCTAATGAAAACGAATACAATCAACAGGACCTTTTTCGACAAGTCGCGCAATGACGTTTCATACGTATATTCTCCATATGACCGCGAGATAAATTTATTTATATAATTTATTTATTTGTATGTGTGTTCGTTTTTTTATTATTTTCTATTTTACTCTAATTTTGTTCTCTAAGATTCTTATCTTATCAAAATTCTTATATTGCTGTAATAGACAAGAAAAACTCACATGCCATAGATTTGTATGTATTATATGAAAGAAGGACGATTATAGATATTGATGAGTCGGTGTAATCCCATATTGACAGCTACATTTATTGACAGTGAGTTGAAAATGTTTTACGAGTTTCTGATTGTATTTGTTATTTGTTATTTCACTCATCTTCTTGATGTGACAGGACACATGGACATGAACTTTGGTCTTCTGTGACGTGGATCGTGAAGTTAACAGCAATTAAATATTAATGAAACTCATGCAATTTCAATAACAGCTACTGTCACTGACTTGGACAGTTATTTGTTATAAATTTCGCACGAATATTATTGAATACAAGCAAGCAACTTTGCACTATTTGCACATTAGTTTAGTTGGCATTTAAATGTTCCATGATGGGAGACTTGTTTTTCATGCTTCATCAACTTCAGCATCACTCAACTTCAAAAGATATAAGTCATGTTGTAGTGTTTAGTCAAATGATTCTCAAACAATGCTTGTTATAAACTGATTCTTGAGTAGTTGATGAATTTAGTTGAGTAACCGTCCAAAGCACGTCTGATTTTACATTTTATTTATCCGATTTCTCTACAAAAATGTACGTACGTATTCTTCGCTGTTACCATATTCTCGAAGATTGTACAATAGCGCCAACACTCGTCGTTAAATGTTTAATACGTACTACTCAACTTGAGAAATAACGTGCTCGATCGATTTTTTCTACAATTACACAAAGCTCCTCGGATACAGAGAACAAATGGGGCAGACCGCCGATCAGCGGTAGCGTGGTGGACCTGACCAGCAATCGGTAAAACCGAGTTTGAACACCAAAATGGACGACTTTTATGCTGGGTGAGTGTGCCATATGCTCAACGGGATGGCTATTTACTAATCGATGCGACTTTGCGGAAAGTTTGTAAAGGTATTCAGGTGTTTTTGTACGACAGGGCCTGGTTAAATCCCGGATAGTACTTCAAATTTGCATAATGGCTGTAAGATGACCACGCAGCACTGTTACGTTATCCCAAGCATGATAGTTTATGTGACAAAATGCTCTGTAATTTGCACATAGACAAATCAAGAGAGACAATGGTGACATCCAATGTCGAGAAATATAGCTTGGCACAAAATTAAAAATATATATATTTAATATGTCTGCTTTATAAAGGTTCCTAGCAATGCTTTATAAAGGTTCCTAGCAATGCTTTATAAAGGTTCCTAGCAATGCTTTATAAAGGTCCCTAGTAATGCTTTATAAAGGTTCCTAGCAATGCTTTATAAAGGTTCCTAGCAATGCTTTATAAAGGTTCCTAGCAATGCTTTATAAAGGTTCCTAGCAATGCTTTATAAAGGTCCCTAGCAATGCTTTATAAAGGTTCCTAGCAATGCTTTATAAAGGTTCCTAGCAATGCTTTATAAAGGTCCCTAGTAATGCTTTATAAAGGTTCCTAGCAATGCTTTATAAAGGTTCCTAGCAATGCTTTATAAAGGTTCCTAGCAATGCTTTAATGCTGGTAAACGTGTTAAAAATACATTATTGATATATTTTCGACCACCAACAAGCGCTGCACCAAACAGATACGTCAAACATGTATATTAAAGAGCGGTAGTCGTTATGCCACGCATGCGCGGGATATATGGGTCTCATATAGACAAAGATGTCGATTTGGGCTGTTGCGCTTATCAATGAGTACAAACTGAGACGTTACCAAGCTTTAATTAGGTGTTTTAGGTGATTAGAAGGTATCGAAGGAGTCGTCGGCGGTAATTAGTGAACGTTGCGCCCAGGTCAAACCTCATACTTGTGATAAACATTTACCCACAATCCAATGCGCTCTTATAATGGAAATCACAAGTATGAGGTTTGTGTATACTATACAAAACACTGTGTATAATTTATATGCATGACTGCATTCAAATATAAAGCCTAATTGAATGTTCATACCCAAATACTTTGTCGAATAGTAATTTACAATATATTTTCATTTTCTCGAATTTATTCATAATTGTTTTCGTATTCACCTGTCAAATCAGTTTGAGATGTTTTCTCACAGCTTACAGACTGAAAAACGCATCAATACATCCCGACATCACAGTAAATTCTTGTTCTCGTAAAGGCATTACTGTTTTGACACTTCTCTACATAAATATTCGTGTACGTAAGTATCAATTTCCTTTTAATATAAAGGCTGTTATAATATTATGATACATTTCCACGAATCAATTAACAAAACACGATGACTGTCGTCCTCGTAAAATCCAACATTGAAGAGCGGCTATTTGTCGTTTTAACTCTCAGAGAAATATTCATGATCGTTAACACTACACTACTTCTGTATATGGGAAATCATGGCAAGTCATGTCATATTTGCGCAGTACTTTTCAATATGTTTAATTTTTCACAAAATGTGTAGCAGTTCATAGCACATTGATTTTAGACAGTGATTTTAGAATGTGTCAAATGAACGAGTTTTAAGCGATGACGTTGCGATTCAGTTCACATACATCAATGCAGCCGTCATATTCATTTTTGACCCCACTATACGTGAACTTCGAACTGCCCGAATCGCGCAAAATAATTGTTTGCAGCGCCCTCGGTAGAATAGAACGTTTGAAGTAACTTGGAAAAGGCAAGACTGGGGAGTAAGTCATGGTCTCTCAGTCTGCTGATATTCGGTGAAATAGAATCGTAATTTTGCAACGTCGTACAACTATGAACCTGAACACACTAACAAGTAACCAGACTAAAAACAGAACATAAATTAACCATTAAAAGTTCACATTTTTTAAACCAACCAAATAATTCAATAGCTAAACGAAATTACTATACTATTAAAAACAATGTATTAAACAAATAAAAGATACGAAAATGGAATTCAAGTACCAGTTAATATTGAAGAATCAGGAAATCTGAATCATAATATATATTGAAAAACACTAAATCAACCTCGCCTTCTCAAGAATATGATGACATGTTTAACATTGCCTTAAATGAAAATTGTTCAAGTGCGTTGTAAATAGTGGAAAATTTCCATCACGCTTGGAGTCAACAATCTTAGTCTCAATTCATAAATCAGGTGAGAAATCAGATCCACCTAATTACAGAGCAATTGCACTGTTAAAACTATTCACCAGTATTCGAAATAGTAGATTCACAAACCATTTGGAGAAAAACAAATATTTAACTGAGCTACAGTTTGGCATTATGGAAATTTTCATAAGGCACTTAAGTCAGTGTATACAGATCG